GGAAGGAAAATGACAGGGTCATTATATCATCTCTGGAGCGAAGGTCCTCCTCTTTTGTCTGACAAGTTTGAAGTTAGGATTTATAATTAGGCGGTGCTCTATGATAGTTGGGTCTATTCCCGGAATGTCTTCATGCCTATTGTGTAAGTTCCTGAGAAATTGAGTAAGTTCATCTTTAATACCTGGGTGAAGTAAAGACCCTATACTCACTTTCTTCTCGGGCTCACCATCACCAAGGCTAACCTCTTCTAGGTCCTCTATAGGTTCCGTTCTATGAGAGTCTTGCCTATCTCTCCCTTCCCGCCCTTTAATCATAAGTGCCTTTTGCGACTTTGTTTCTCTGAGAGAAGCAACGTAACATTCTCGAGCCATTGTTTGGTCCCCTCTTAGCTCTCCCACACCAGATTTAGTTGGGAAATGCATCAGGAGATGGTAAGTGGAAGTGATTGCTTTCACGGCATTCAGGATTGTCCTTTCTAGGATAATGTTGTATGATGATGGGCAGTCCACCACTAGAAAGTCCACCATCATAGTGACCTACTTTGGATGGGCTCCTGCAGTAACTGGAAGGGTAACTGCCTACAGTGGATATACTTTGTGGCCTGAAAATCCCACAACTGGTGACTTCATGGGTCGGAACTTCTCTCGGCCGATTTTCAATTTGTTGAACAGCCCAAGAAATAGTATGTTAGCTGAGCTGCCATTATTAATCAGTATTCATCGAACAGTGAAATTAGTGATGACCATGGAAACTACTAGAAGATCATCATGGGGCTGTTGAATTCGCTTGTCATCTTCTTCAGAAAAGGTTATGACCGACTCTTCAACTCGCGGTAATTTTGTTGGAGGAATTGTCACTCTAACTTCATTCACCTCTGAAAAACTCCGAATTCTCCTAGCATGAGCCCTTCGAGCCGAACTCGTCTTGCCCACTAGCGAAGCCACCCGATATAACTCTGATCTCACCTATTGGTTGGTGTTAAGGAAGGAGATCATCTCGCCCTCTCGGGCTGGGTTTGAGCTTCTTTTTCCATTCCCAGTCGTGAATCTGCGTAAATAACCCTTACGAACAAGGTTCTCCATCTGGTTTTTGAGGTCAAAACAATCTTTTATGTTATGTCCATGGTCCCGGTGGAACCTATAGTATTTATCTTGAGACCTCTTTGTTGGATCAGCTTTTAACTTTAGTGGCCATTTTAATGATGAGTCATCTTGAATCTGCAGAAAGACCTGCTCTACAGATGTGTTTAGAGGGGTGTAGTTATTATACCTGCCCGGGCTCATCGGACAGCGAGATAATCTGTCAGCGTGGCTGCTTGAGAATTTCTTGTACTTCGATTCCTTTTCCTTCCTAGTGCTAGGTGCTGGCCTCTTTTTATCTGACCTATTATCTTCACCATATTTGTTTTTTCGTGCATTCATAGCTTCCTCAATGTTCATGTGCTTCCACGCTCTAACCATCAACTCTGTCATGCTCGTAGGGGCTTCCTTTGACAAAGAGAATAGGAACTTAGAGATTTGTAGTCCTCCCATAAAGACTGTGAGGGCAACCTTGTCGTCTACCCCTTTTACCTGCAGCATTTCAATGTTAAAAAGACTTATGTAATCACGAAGAGGCTCTCCCTTCTGCTACTTCACATTTAATAAGTGTGTTGCTGGTCTCCTATGCCTCTGCCTAGCGATGAAGTGTCCTATGAATTGTTTGCTCAACTCATCAAAGTTTTCAATGGAGCCTGGCTTTAATTTATTGAACTAGAGACGAGCCCAACCCTTTAGTGTGGTAGGGAAAGCCCTGCACATAATCACGTCCGATATGGCTTGCAAATATATAAGAGCTTTGTAGGTCTCCAAATGATCGAGAGGGTCTCGCGTCTCATCGAAGCTATCAAGAGTTGGCATCTTGAATTTGCTAGGTAGAGGACAACTCATAACAGCTGGACTAAATGCTAGGTTAGTCTTCTGTACCAGATCATTCACTGCGGCTTGGCCCTTCCCTTTCATCACTTACATGACGTCTTCAACCCTAGCTCTCAGATCTTGCATCTGTAGATCGAAATGAGTGACGTCCTTAGTCTTGTCGCCAACACAACCAGAGGTATCTCCATGGAGCCTGGTGGTATTCCGTACAGGAGATCGATGGTGATGGCTCCTCTATTGACCCCCTATTTGACTAAGCTCAGCGTCGTCATCAACCCTACGGGAGTCATTGTTGGGTACTTCACTATTCCCCTCCTCGTTAGGGGCAGCTAAGCATTACAGAATCATCGCATTTTGCTGGACTAACTGGTTCATTCCCTCATTTAAGGTTTGAACCTGTTATTCCAACGTTCTGACGTGTTCCTGATCGTTTGGGATGACGGGGGGTTACCTCATCGAGTCCCCTTGATCTAAAGCTTACAACACTTCGTCCTCACCAACAGTCAGACCAGATCGCAATTGAGCCATGCTTTGTTTAGAGAACTAAAATTTTTCCCACAGACAGTGCTAACTGTTGATGATGGATTTTGCGCAACTCAGATATGATTTGACTTCCTGAACAAAGAGAAGAAAAAGTGATCCTACAGACACTGGTGTGTTACCGGTGGAGTAGGCTCCGACGAACAAGTCAGTGTATAAAGTAATCTCTCTGGAGAAATCAAGAAGTTGAGCTAGGATATGTTTCCTACCTTAAAATGTCGATTAACCCCTTTCTTTATAGGGATTAGTTCAAGATGTAACGTCGAGTTACCGTCGTAACCTATGAGAGTAGCTAGTCTTACTTCTAATTTGTACATTAATTTAACAACCTTCCCCTATCCTCAGGTATTTAAATTATTCATTTATCAGTTGTAAATGTATTACTGAATCTATCCATGGTGGTCCACGGGAGAAAGACTTTCTTGCACCTTTAATATTTCGTTATCTTTACCATTCATCATGTGACATAAGTAAAAGTGCTTTATTTTAGTGGGTCTTATCACTACGTGTCAATATTTAAAAAGCCGGTCATACAATGTCATCACTACAACCAACAATTGTATCATGTCAACATGGATGTGATGGTTTATTATTATTATTTTTTAATTTTGATGTAATAAGGTTAAATTAGCAATGTTATAAAAAATAGTACTTAACTCTTCAATTATGACATTTATTTTTGGACAGCCAAAAAAAAAAAAAAAAAAGAGAACATTTTTTTTTTTTGGGATATAGGGAGTATATTTTTTATGTTTTAGAATATATTTTTATTCATTCTCAAAAATAAAATGAATGATAAATAAAATTTAAAAAATTAAAGAAGCATTAACAATAATAGAAGGGTAACGCGGTCATTTTTGTATTATTAGGTTTAACCTGAAGTAAGATTTATTTTGAATATTTTAACCCAAAAAATATATATATATATTTTGAATAAATAGCGCCAAAGAATTGCTTGTTGGGATTGCTTGCTTAAACAATAAAATCTATAGAGAAAGAAAACACGGTGAATCGGTGATACTATAAAACCCTGATCTATTTCATTGAGCGAAGCTTTTTGAAACCCTAATATTTACTTATTTGTTTCTCTCTTCAATTCCCTTTATCACAACCGAAACTACACCGATTCAATTTTCGACTGTTCTGTCCTATAGTTATTCCTTTGCCGGTGGAAGAGCTTTTAATCATCTTCCCAGCCTTCATCGAAGCGTTCTATCGTTCTTGTAATATATCTATATTTTAATTTCATGTTCTTGGGGGATTTTTTTTTTTCAAATTGTTTCACTAATTTTGGTTGATTATTGATTTTGTTAGATGAAGCTTTATTTATTTATTTATTATGTGAAAAACTTTTGTTGATTTAGAGTTATATCCAACTAGTGTCCATAAATTGTTTATTAGACGCTCTCAAACTCTCAAACTTTGATTTTGTTGAACTCCAATTAGTGCTCACTTAAAATTGGGTAATTTACCATTTAGATTTTAAACTCTAACAGTGGCTAATTAAGTACCCTTTGCACTGTTTTATACATAATTTTTTTTTGGTAAGTTGCAATTAGGGGTTATCTTGGTATTAAGTAGGACTAGATATTACATATTTGTTACTTTTTATAACTTTGTGTTCTATGCTGTATTTTCATTGAATTAAAAAAAAGAGCTTTTTATTTTTTTTAATGTATGTAGTCTTGCATTAATGCTTGTTTGTGGTGCTAATATATTACAAATTTTTGTGCAGTGATTCATTGATTTTGTTGTTGTTCATGCATTGTTGGTGACACTGTTTTGGTCATTGCAATAAAAAAGAATGGTGTATGGGATTCAATCTGAAAATCTGAATTGGAATTGTGACAGCACAAAATTTGACTAAGAGATTGAGTAGGAATATATAAAAAGAAGAGAAATGAGAGAATTGCGTAAAGGCTTGATTGATATGAATTACTCATTCACAGCTCTAATATTTATAGATAAAATGAGCACATGCTCATATTACAAGAAAGGAAACTAAATCAAATCATAACTTATTCTAAAGCATATTCTATGGCATATTCTATAGCATAGTCAAATCTCTGCTATTATAGTAAGTCATAATATAAATCGTGGTATCATATATGCTAACATATACATGGTCAAATCTCTGCTATTATGGTAAGTCATAACATAAATTGTGGTATCATATATGCTAACACTCCCCCACAAGTTGGTACGTGGATATTTGAAATGCCCAACTTGGACAATGCATTCTCAAACACAATCTTGCTGACGCCCTTTGTAAGAATGTCCGCAAGCTGCTGAGAGCTTGTGACAAATAGAGTATAAATTTGATCAGAGATGATCTTTTCTCGAATGAAGTGACGGTCCACCTCTGTATGCTTAGTCTTATCATGCTGAATGGGATTCACTGCTATGCTAATAGTAGACTTGTTGTCGCAGTAGAGTGAGAATGGAAGCGACACTGGAAGACACAAGTCTATCATCAAGGTTTTCAGCCAAAGTAACTCACCTACCCCAAGAGCTATAGCCTTATACTCTGCCATTGCACTAGATCAAGAGACAATATCCTGCTTCTTACTGCTCCAAGTAACCAAGTTACCACCAATAGTGGTACAATAACCTAAAGTAGACCTCTTATCTGAAATTGATCCTGTATAATCAGTATCTATCCAAGCCTCAACATGTAAGTGAACATGATTGGCAAACAAAATACTACGGCCTGGACACCCTTTTAAGTAATGAAGGATCCAAATAGCTGCATCAAGGTGAGGAGCACGAGGAAAGTGCATGAATTGACTCACAACACTCACGGTATAAGCAATGTCAGGTCGAGTCATAGATAAATAGATGACCTTCCCCATAAGTCGTTGATGATGAGCACTGAATATTGCATATTCGAGCCCCTAAATATATGTATATTAAGACGTAAAGTGATACTTCTATCCATTGTTAGACTAATTTATGTTTAATGTGTGTTTATAGGTACTTTCTCAGAGAAATGGTTAAAACCGGGACTTTATGATGAAAAGACTGATATCGAAGCTTATAGAGTCGTTGCCGGTCATTCAGAGCAAGCCGAGAGCTTAAATGGTGAAGTTTGGAAGAATTAAGGATCCAAAGCTCGAGCCCAAGTCTTGAGGCTCGAGCCTTGTAAGAAAAGGAAGAAAAATCAATAAGGCATTGAAGCTCGAGCCTTGCACCTCCAGAGCTCGAGCCCTACTCAGTGGTGCTCGAGCCTAACCTCAGGGTGCTCGAGCCTTGACCCTTAAGCTCGAGCACAAGGCATTGGAATTTGAAAAGTTGATTTAATGGAAGAACCAAGCTCCCAGGACCTCATGCCAAGCCCCATGGATCGAGCACCATTACCCAAAGCTCGAGCCTTGAGTACCTAAAGCTCGAGCCTGGTACCTAGTACTTAAGCCCATGAAGCTTGGATCGAGCAATGTTAAAAGAGATGAACCCCAAAATATGCTAAGTGTTGAAGGAAAAGACGCTTTGGAAAATAATTGAAGAAATTTGGCTAAGTGCCAAAGTGAAGAACGAGCACCATTCCTTGAAGCTCGAGTAACAACTCCGTGAAGCTCGAGCCTTGTTCCCAAAGCTCGAGCCTGAACCTCAAAGTTCGAGCTCTACTTCCTAAAGCTCGAGCCTTCTATGATAGATCAGATTTAAGTTACAGGATTATTCTCTTTACAAGTCGTGTCTCATTCCATGGGCCAAAAGACCTAAAAGCCCACCAGACCTTTATTTTCTTCTATAAAAGAAAACATAGGCCTTGATAGAAGAAGTCCTTTTTTCTCGTATTATTTAGACGGCTGATATTGTGGTGGTGGTTTTTAGGGTTTCCATAACCTTAGAAGGTGAAGATCCTGAGAAGAGAAGTGTCATCCGTGACGATAGAGACGACTACAACACAGATGATATTCGGCATCGTCATGAGTAGCTAATTCCTCTCTTAGGGCACTAATGTAACCCAATCTAGTATTATAGTTTGATTGTTCTTAACTCTAGGATATTTTAATAGATTATGTTTTTTATTACATGACTATGAGCAATTGAGACAACTCAATTGGATTTAATGCTTTAAATAGTTTTCAAATCGTTATTACCTTGTCTTAGATATAATTGTTTGTTTTCTATTCTTAACCAATTCTTGTTAGACGGTATCTAGCGGAGCCCTGCTAGACATAAGAATAGAGGTTATGTAATGGTGTTCCAATGTTTTTTATAAAAGAATGTTTTCATAGTCTATGTTTAAGAAAGATGGATTGTTTACAAAGTAGTTAAAGTAGTTAGAGTAGGTAGGTGGTTAGTCCATGCTAACCACAGATAGGTTATAGTTAACTGAATTTTATAAAACATCTTTCTTTAAAACCTGAATTGAACGAATGTTATTGAGTTCAATTCATTTAAAATCTAATTTGTTGAATTCCCAGAGTTAAAACAGTTAACCATAGTATGAAAGTTGTGGTGAAGTCAAAGCCCTAAGACCTTTCTCTCTCTGATCACTCTAGTTTAATTTCAGTTTATAGTCATAACAACCAATCAAACAATTCAACCAGTTACCTATAAACCAATAGAGATTAATTAAAAGCGGAACATAAATACTCATCTCCCTGTGGGTTTGACATCCTCTCTATAGTGCTATCCTACAAGGATTTGTTCTATTGCGAGTGGTTATTTATAAATTGGCAAAGTAATAACACACAATCAATTTTTGGTGCCGTTGCCGGGGAGATTTGTTATTTAGTTTAGTTTTTAATTAGTTTTATTTTTGGTTTACCAGTCTTCGGACTTTCTGATATCTCACCTTAATTCTTTTTCTTTTCAGGTACAGGAAATTAGCAGTGAGGACAAAGACGCTTAAGGGATAAAAAGCTTCGGTTTATTAAACCTTCTGTGAGTTTTTGCTGTTTTCTTTCACTTGGAAAATTTTATTTTTGTCACTTTTAGGATTAGTGGAATTAATGCATGTTAACTCGTCATACTCGGTCAAAACCTTTAGTGCATGATCCTGAAATAGAGAGAACTCTTAGTCAATTAGGAAAACTTAAAAAATATTTGAATACAATAGGAAGTTCCTCTGATAACATGGCTGATAATTGTGATGCACCGGGTAATGGTAATGGTAATGGAGAACGGGTGCCACCTGTTCATCCACAACCACAATTGAGGGATCATTTTATTCCTACCACATATACTTCTCCTTCGTGTTTTGTATTTCCGGATGCTGATGCAACCTATTTTGAGATCAAGCCTGCTATGATCCAAATGCTTCCTACTTTCCATAGGTTTGCAACAGAGGATCCTTAGCACTTGGATGTATTTTTGGAATTGTGTTCGACTACCAAGTTGATCACTCTTACCAATTATTCATTCAGGATGCGACTTTTCTAATTCTCTCTCAAGGACAAAGCAAGAACTTGGTTCCATTCCCTTCCACCAAATTCCATATCTACATGGGAGATGTTGCAACAAGAATTCTTGAAAATGAGAAGAGAAATTATGACATTTTCCTAAATCCCGGGAGAACAGTTCCATAATGCATGGGAAAGATATAATGATCTTCTAAGAAAGTGTCCACACCATGATATTGCTCAATGGCACTTAATACAGATTTTCTATGATAGTCTCTCTTATTCTTATATAAAAATGGTTGATGCATCTAGTAATGGAGCCTTTCTGTGTAAGAGTCCGGCTGACGCTTAGGAATTGTTTGAGGCCCTAAGTGAGAATTCAATGCAACATGCGTCTTCCTTTAGGTCCAGATCTTCAGCTAGAATGTATAAAGTTGAAAAACTCTATGAGATAAACAAATCTAGTGAGTTAGTCGTTCAAATAGAAGCCTTGAACCGTAGGTTTGATCAAATCTTATCATCTGGCTTTGCTCCCGTTGCTAATCCACAAACTGCTTTGCCAAAGGAAGTTTGTTCAATCTGTGTTAATCCTTCCCATTTTGCTGACACTTGCCCTACGATGGGACAATCATCTGAGATCCCACAGGAGCAAGTGAATGCTGCATTCTCTAGACCAACTTACAATCCATATGCTTCCACATATAATTTTGGCTGGAGAGATCATCCAAATCTATCACGGCGTAATCAAAATCAAGGAATCACTCTTCCTCAATCATAGGGACAGTATCAAAATTTATCTAATCCTATGCCATAAAATAACTCTTTCAATCAATCTGGTATTTATCGTCCACCTTAGTTCATGAATCAACCCACTCAAACTCCTACTCTTCCACCTCCTCCTAGAAATTCTGCTTTTGAGGATCAAGTACTCAATGCTCTTGTTGATCTTAAAGCCAATACCTAATTTTTTAATTCTAATTCATAAGCCATAGCAAAGCTAGAGGCATAAGTTGGGCAAATAGCGAGTACTCTATCTCAAAGAGAGGATGGAAAGCTGCCTAGTCAACCAGTAGCCAACCCGAAAGGGCAGACTTACATGATTGATGAAACCAATTCCTCAGGTATTCATCATGAGCAAGTTCAGGCTGTTACTATATTGAGGAGTGGTAGAGTGGTTGATAATCAAGTTAAAAAAGGACATGAAGAAAAAGAGAGGCTTAGGGTTCCCATTGTTCCTATTATCCATAATCCACATCCCAAGGATGTTTCCTCAAGTTCTATTCCGCAATTCACCACAGAAGTTGAAGGTGGAGTCATTTCTTCATCTGCTCCTAACCTTGAGACAGCTTATGAGCCAAGAGTGCCTTATCTTGAACATCTCAAGGAACCCTCCCACTTTGGTAAATAAGGGGAGAAAATTCAAGATATTATGGAGGTCTTTAAACAGGTCAAAATCAATCTTCCTCTGCTTGATGCTACAAAGCAAATTCCAGCCTATTATAAATTTGTAAAGGACTTGTGCACTCTCAAGAGAAAATCCAAAAGCCAAGTTCCTAAGAAAATTTATCTCACCGAGCAAGTCAGTGCTATTCTTAAGTACAGCACTCCACTTAAGGTTAAAGATCCTGGTGTTCCTATAATTTCTCGCATTATTGGAAATAATGTGATAGAGCGAGCACTTCTTGATCTTGGAGCAAGTGTTAATCTTATTCTTTACTCGGTGTATAAGAAGCTAGGTCTGGGTGAGTTAAAACCTACGTTGGTTGTTCTACAACTTGCTGATCGTTTTGTTAGACAACCACGAGGTATTATTGAAGATGTATTCATAAAAGTGGACAAGTTCTTTTTTTCGGTCGATTTCTTAGTTCTTGATATAGAACCGGTCCACGATTCCAAAAATTATATTCCAGTCATTCTTGGGCGTCCTTTTCTAGCCACAGTGAATGCTTGCATTTACTGTAGGACTGGAGCCATGGATTTATCTTATGGAAATATGAAAGTCAAGTTGAATGTCTTCAATGCTATTCATCATCCCCACGATGAAAGTGAATGCTTCTTCCTTGATGTTATTGATGAGTTGGTTGAGGAATCACTCTTAATTATTTTATCCAAGGATACTTTAGAAGCTTGTCTGAATTACTTCAATTATGAAGATTTCGATATCGAATCTTCAATAGCTGAAGTGAATTCCTTGCTCAATTCCACTCCTATTAGAGATTTTCCTCCTTGGAAATCTAGACTTGAGCCTCTTCCTCCACTTTCTAGTACTCTGCCTATTCCTTCTTTAGAGTTTCTACCTAAGCTTGAGCTTAAGCCACTTCTGGACAAGCTCAAGTATGCTTTCTTGGGTTTAAATGATACCCTCTCGGTGATTATTGCTTCCAATCTTACAAGTTCCTAAGAAAGTAGTCTCTTAAAAGTTCTTGAGCAAAATAAAAGAGCTATTGGGTGGCGTGTGGCTGATTTAAAAGGAATTAGTCCCACAATTTGCATGCATCAGATTC